GGGGGGGGGGGGGGGGGGGGGGGGGGGGGGGGGGGGGGAAGGGGGATGGGGAGGGTGTAATAGAGAAAGAAGAAATGTGAAAATGTGAGTAACGACAGTTATGGTCATCAGTTTTCCACCAAACTTTGCCTCCTGCTCCACAGCTGTCATTGCAGTGACGACAGTTTGGTTCCTTGTGTTGATTGCTCTTATACGTCCCCATCACCACAAGTACAGTGTCCCAGCCTCCTCAGTAATGTGCCACCCATGGTTCTTGTGTCTAATTGCTATTCTTCTTTTTTTTTTGGGGGGGGGAGGACCACTTCTCGATTTATGCATGTCACCCTTGAGCAGGGGCTATGCCAATCTTCTCCGTATTGATCCGATGCTTTTTGCGGATCTCCAAAAGCAAACTGTCTGATGGCGATTCTTATGTATTCTTCTTCTTCGTCGGAAGTTCGTGCGTATTTGTTATTTTTTTCTGTTTTGTTCTTTTTGGGCAAAGAGGGCCAGCTCCCAATATTATTATATCCATTCAGGATTCAAACTCACGATCTGTTAATCACAGCAATTACAGGTTTGTAGTACTTTGTACCATTCAGCCACAGTCCAGGGGTATCAGATAGATGTCCATTCTCTCACCCGTAGATTTTGTTCACGTGTGGTGCAGTGGGCTCACTCCAACAGAGTTCTTCTTTCACACAATGGGCGGACGAGAAGGTCTGGTGGACACTGCGGTGAAGACTGCCGAGACAGGTTATATGTCTCGGCGGTTGATGAAGGCACTTGAAGATTTGTCTATGCAATATGACGGGACTGTTCGAAATGCAAGCGGAGCAATTGTTCAGCTCTCTTATGGTGACGATGGCATGGATCCCGTTCACATGGAAGGGAAGAACGGAACCCCTCTCAATTTGGAAAGGTTACTGCTCAAGACCAAGGTGAGAGACACCGACTTTTTCCTCTTCTGTGTCGGATCATGTACGCGCTATGCCCCTTTCACCCATAGCCCCTTTCTGGCCAAGGTGAGGGACGCTGCCCGAAGGATACGCGCCCCACCCATAGCCCCTTTCTGACCAGTTGGGGTTCAGAAAGTGGCTATAGGTTTAGAAAGGCGCGTATCCTTTGGGCAGTGTCGCCAACAGGTCACACAAAGGAAAGGTTGTAATCCGTCAGTCGATACCGTTCATATCTGTTTGGTTAGACTGCTTTCCAATAAATTCAATTAGAATAGAAAGAGTTCACAGACAAAAAAAAAAAAAAAAAAAAAAGAAAGAAAGAAAGAAGGAAAGAATAGAAAGAGTTGGCCTACCAACAGGCCTAGCTCAGTTGGTACACGAACGAAACTGCTGACGTACAGACCTGAGTTCGACTCCAGATAGAAGTAGTCTGAAATTTTTAAACTACGTGGGGCCGGTCAGTTCCACTATGATATCTAAAGGAAAAGGGAAAAAGAAGAATGAGTCAGCCTAACTTTTTACCGAGATCGACCGCGATGTGCGTCCAGCAGAAAACCATACACCAGCCCAGTATCCTCAAGTTGGGACCTGCATTCCTAACGTCCTGTCTCCTCTCATATCGTGATCAATATGGTGGGTAATAAAGTACTGTCTGGCGTACACGGATCCATCCGTGTACGCACGGAATAGAACTGGCGCCCTTAGCTACAAGAGCCAAGTCTCTTAAGAGTCGTATACCGCCGGTCACAATTATCCACCCCATCCTTGCATGGTTGTAGTGTCCTTGCTCACTTGCACACACACACACACGCTCACACAACACCACGCATGCAGCTAGGCTACCAGAGTGGCCCAGGACCACTTGCGCGGCTGGGCCAAGAAAAGTTAAAAAAATAAGAATAAAAAGATTTTTTTTTAATTTTGTTTTTTATTTTGAATTTGGTAAAGAATTTCGATGTGACCCTGAGGCAAAAGTTGTTCCAAATTAGTTCAATTTACTTTTCTGCATAACATAGTTGCTTTTCGGATTTTTTTTATTTATTTTTTTCTGGGACCTTCCCTGGTCCTTGCACGGCCGGGCCGCCAGGGAAAACAAGGTGACCAGGGCGGCCCGGCTGGTAGCCTAGCCATGCAGGCAATTCTCGCACACTTCGCTCTAATGCAGCACATGACCCTCTCACGCACTTTGCGCCAATGCAGCACATGACCCTCTCGCACGCTTGGCTCCAATCCAGCACATCACCCTCTCGCTGATTGGCCATGGTATGAACTACTATGAAGTATCCATTGTTGGCCACGGTATGAAGTATCCATCCCTGCCTGGTTACCAGTCGTCAAGCCAGTTTGTACACCTCTTTTCCCATGTCCGCTTCTGACATCATCTTTTGCCAAGTGCAGAAAAGTGTCCTCCTTCCTCAGAAACAAAAAAAGCTAGAAATGCTATATTCGTCGAGTGATATTTCACCTTCAGTAATCCTCTTGTCAGCACTTCTGTAACCCCGAACCTGTAAGTTTGCAAAGCCGCATCATAAGGCTTCCCTCTTTGCTTCAAGCTATCTGACTCAGGAGTCAGGGCTCCTTCACTCAAGGTGCTTCTTCTCGTTCCCCAGCCAACCTCGACAAACGTTATGATTTGCTCTTAAAATTTTTAAAATGCTTAGCAATGACTCTGAACCCCTCCCCCTTAAACCACCACTCCATCTGGACCTATTTAGACGAGCTAAAAAAAATTGCATTTTTCCCGGAGCACTAAAATCTACAGTGCCACCATGAGGAAAAGCAATTGTGGTACCCTTCCCTCACCGAACTTTCCCTGGGCCTGGGCACTGCAGATTCTGGCCCGGTACTTGTAGACAAGAAAAATGAACCGTGCAGGGGCCTTTGGAGTGATGGCTTAAACTTCAGAAAGTAGTTTTAACTCTCGCCGTTTTACGGCTTTACGAAGCCTATGCGTGTGGAGTTAAGTCGTTTGGAAAACCATGGCATGACTGTGCAAATGCTATTGAGAGCCGAGATGGACTGGAACCTTCGGCAGAGTAAGCCCGTAGAAAGTAGCCGCCCAAAATGGCATGTTGGGACTCGGGAGCGACAATAAATCAGCATGTGATCAGAGGAGGGCAAGAGTTGCAAGCAAATACTGAAGTCAATAAGAGGGTGGGGGGAGGTGAGAGGGGAACAGGCAAACGTAAGAAATGTCATGCGCTACGTTACCGAACGTACACGTACGGGGCCTTGCCGTACGAAACGTACAGATAATATCTGTACGGGAACCTGTACGCCCCCGTACGATCCGTACAGAAAAAAAAAAAAAAGTTCATCCAAAAAATCCAAAAAAAAATATATGTGATGTAAAATCCCAAGACAAGCAACATTTGCCTGAGCACCATCTGCAGATTCTTATTAGAATTGGAGAAAAAAAAATAAAAACAGTAAAAAAAAATTAAAAAAGTCGTACGGGCCTTGAGTACAAGTAGCGTACAAGAAATGAGTACAACTTGTACTCGTACGGGGGTGAGTACGAATCGCAACGTTGCAGCTGTACCCCCCCCATTGTGGTGGACTCTGTCCGCTGTATGCAAGTTGCAGCTGCCCCCCCCCATTGCTCAGCAGCCCGAAGCACAGGGGCTCACATTCAAAGTTTGGATATCCAAATGAGGCCCCGAATGTTTGGTTCAATCTGCGAAAGAAATACTAAACTAGATGTGCAATTTATTTCAGCAGTGCAAGTACTTGGCTTCCTAAACCCCGAACCCTGAACTCTAAACCCTAAACCCTAAACCCTAAGTCGTAAACCGCACGCCCAAAACCCTAAGCCCTAAATCCCGGCCCTTAACCCTAAACCCTGACTTAATCCTGTATCCCAAACCATAACCCCCAAATCATAAACACTAAACCCTAAACTCTGAATCTCAATCCCTAAATCCCAAGTCCTAACCTTTAACCCGTAACCCCTAAACCCTGAACCCTTGACGGGATCATGCTGTTTTTTTTTTTGTTATTTGGTTCTCTTGTGGTCTTCATTGACGCTAAAACATTGCGCAGGCACAATGCCCAAGTCGTGGGGAGGTTTCCATGGCGCCAGGAGAGCTGAAAACGAAAGTCCTGAATCGATTGGATCGCCCAGATATGTCCCCGGAGCACGGATGTTCAGTGAAGTTCAGGAGCAGTCTGCTGGCGTTTCTGGAGAATGAGATAGGTGCCATTTCAAGGGCAAGGACAAAGCTTGGCCTCCCGGAGGCGCCAACCGAGAAGGACATCGAATCCAATCATGCGCTAGAGAGGACTGCGCTGTACATGCGAGGCCTGACACGACGCCAGGTGGAGGTCTTCCTTGAGACTTGCATCCGCAGATATTACCGGAAGCGAATGGAACCTGGTGCGGCTGTTGGAGCAGTTGGTGCCCACAGCATTGGTGAACCAGGCACACAGATGACGCTGAAGACGTTTCACTTTGCTGGTGTTGCAAGCATGAGTATGCCACTAAGCGATTCTCCTCCTCCCCCTCCTCCTCCTCCTCCTCCTGCTCCTCCTCCTCCTCATTGTGTCAGTCCTTTGTGTCAGGTCCGCTGTGAAGGAAAGCATTGCACTCCTTTGCCATGCGTTCCTTCACAGCCTCGCCCGCGACGCTGTGTACATCTTCACGACACCCACCATTTGTCGTGCTCCTGTCCCCAAGCTGTGATTATGTGTTTTGTTTTCTTTTTTCTGATCACCGTTCCTTGATCCACGTGCTGCTGAATCAAGCATCCCTCCCCTAGCCTGCCAGCTGTCCTTTCCCAAACCTGCGAGCCTCTTCTGCCTTTAACCGAACACAATGCCACAGCGTTTTGACTCTATTTGGATGGCAAAAAGGTGGGTTGGTAACTTAGCATACATTTAACAAAGGTGGTTGGTAACTTAGCATACATTTAACCAAGGTGGTTGGTAACTTAGCACACATGTAACCAAGGTGGTTGGTAACTTAGCATACATTTAACCAAGGTGGTTGGTAACTTAGCACACATGTAACCAAGGTGGTTGGTAACTTGGCATACATTTAACCAAGGTGGATGGCAACAGGTTTGTTGTAACTTAGCATAAATTTAACGAAAGTGGTTTGTAACTTAGCATATTTTTAACCAAGGTGGACGACAACAGGGTTGGTAATTTAGCATACATTTAAGTTGATTTAACCAAGGTGATCAGGCGTTATGTTTAGGGGAAGAAGGTGGTTTGCAAAAAGGAACAGCCTTGATCACTTACATCATGGAAGATGGCAGGGTGACAGAGGTTGTGCTGAAGAATTCTCGAAGATAGCAAAGATGTTACGATCCTGGCCAATTTTGAAGTGCAAATACACAAGAAAATACAATGCCGACTATGCCGTCCAATTGCAAAAGAAATGAATGAACTTGAGAGGAGAGAGAGATGAAAGAAGAAGAAGAAGAAGAAGAAGATGTACAGCAGCAAAAGACCAATGACAGTTTGCCCTTCTCTCACCAACGAACTCCCTCCTTATCTCCCCCTCCCTCTTATTCAACCAATAAATAATAGTAATGATGATGAATGGCTGAACCAGAATCAATGTCCGAATCCCTCTTCTACTGCTGGCACAATGATGCATGCTCATAGACAAGGTGAGCAATGCAAAGGAGCAAAAGGACCAGTGAGGTGATGATAAGGACTCAGACATACACAATGAGATCAATGACAAACCTGGCGACATCAGAGAGACAATGTGTATCCATACAATCATAAAATAATACAATGTAGCACAGCGGAAGACTCAAACATACGACCTGACTCAATGGACAGACATGACTCATACCATCATCATCACACATGCAAGAGAGAAGGGAGGCCGCATACACAGAGGAAGGTTCCCCCCCTTGAGCATGCACATGGGAGGTATACCACAGACGATGGGAGAGAAAGGAGCTAGACAAAGATGGAGGCAAGGGAGGAGACCAGAGTCGAATACACTGCTGTCAAAAAAAATAGTCTCCCTGTCAAGTGTCCAACCAATGTCGGCCCCAAGAATGTGGAATCAGATCCTGGGCCTCATAGCCCGTAATAGCTCTGCCTGTAACCTTTCTCTCTCTCTCTCTCTGAAGAAGAAGAGTAAGAAGAAGAAGAAGAGCAGTGACTATGGAGGTTGGAGTCAGGAAGAAGGAGAAGAAGAAGAAAAAGAGAAGTCTCCTCTGTCTCTCCCTCGCCTGCTACTGCTGAAGTCCTGTCGACATTGACTGGTGGAACGGCGCTCTCTGATGCAGGTCGCTGAAGTGCAGTCCAAGCTATGGCGCTCAGGTAAGTCGTCCTCCAGCCAGCGGCTATGGCTCTCCAGCCTCCGCTCTCCCACTACTCCTACTCCTCTACCTCTACCTCTGGCGCAGCACTCCAACAGCGTGATGCTCACAATGTTGCCTAACTGAAATCTGTCGAACTGGACTGCCCTCCCTCTAGATATAGTGTTGGGCCTGGCTGGGCAGCCCATGGTCTGCAACCAGGAGCATCCAGATCTAGATCCTATCGAAGGCCCGGAATGCAGGCCCAAATCCTCCTCCTGGTGGTATCCTGCTGCTAATGCAGGCCCTATCTATTAGGGGAAAGTCTGTAGTGACACACCTGGAACCAAGTTCAACCAACAAAAAATGGACCGGACAGCAAGACTCAGCAAGACTCAGCAAATAAAGAAATAAATAAATGCTGAATCAGAAAAAACTTCAAAAAAGAAATAAATAAATGCTGAATCAGAAAAAAACAGCAAGACTCAGCAAAAAGATAAATAAGGGAATAAATTAATGCTGAATCGAAAAAAGACAGCAAGACTCAGCAAAAAGATAAATAAGGGCATAAATTAATGCTGAATCAAAAAAAGAACCTGCATGAGGCAGAAAAACGTGCCTGGCCTGGAAATGGCCGTGGGCCTCCAGGTTGCACAGCCAAAAAATGACGTGCGGCCTGGGGGCCCCTAGCAACCGTCGGGCCCTGAGAAAAAGGGCCCGTGTACAGGCCTCAGCATGCTACAACAACAAGAGGTCCACCATAGCCATGGCCTCCTCCTTCCTCCTCCTATGGTCAATGACTATGGCGGACTGCTAGGGGCCCTGCCCCGATGTTCAGAAGACATTGCAAAAGCAGCTATGTCTTATTCCTCTCAGGCCGCCATGCCTGACTCTGCCCCGAAGCTTCTTGATGCAGCGCTCCCCCACCTGGGGCCTTCCAGATGCAGCGCCTACCAAGGTGATGAAGATGGTGTCCACCATAGCCAGGTAAGTACATCTGGCGCTCCCCTCTATATTCCCCTTCTTCCTCCTCCTCCCCCTACCCGAGCTCATCCACGATAGCCAAGCTGGAGAGATCTGGGCGCTCCTCTTCTCCACAGCGCTGCACACTAGCGCTCCTCCAGGCGCTCCAGCAGCGTGACGTCCAAACTTGCACGCAGCAAATGAGGAGGAGAGGAGCGCTTCGCTCCTCCTGGAGATACAGCGGCCAACTTGCCTCTTGGGCAGTGACTTCCAGGCCGCGCGGCCTCCAAGCAACCAGTACCTCCTCCCTTTCGGAGGGAAACATCATTGCAGGCTCTGATATCATCCGCACAGGCCCTAGACTCAGACTACGTGGTACATGCCTAGACCTAGCCTACTGCTACTGGGCTTCTAAAAATACGAACTTTTTGTCTCCTTCTGCTCGGCCTACCACTACTCAAGTACCTACGGGCTTACACTACCGCTACTTGAGTGCGCCCTAAGCTACTCTCTTCGGCCTCTTGAGTGTTTTCACTTGCTGCCTGCAGAATTGGACTGAAATTTCTCTGAAAATTTGTGAAAATCAAAATTAGCCTTCTGCTCTTTGATTTTTCTCTTTCCGAACGAAATGTTCAACTCGTTTGCATCGCCCTTTTGTTTGTTATAAATGCAGATATTACTTTGGGAGTGCCTCGCATTAAGGAAATCATAAATGCCGCAAAGACAATCAGCACACCCATCATCACGGTGAAACTTGTGTGTGATAATGATGTCAAGGCTGCACGAATTGTAAAAGGACGAATCGAAAAGACAGTTCTTGAAGAGGTACGACTCTCTCTCTCTCTCTCTCTCTCTCTCTCTCTCTCTCTCTCTCTCTCTCTCTCTCTCTCTCTCTCTCTCTCTGCGGCTGCGTGTGTGTGCCAACTGCTCTCTCTTTTCCCTTTTGCTCTACTCCCTTCCGTCCCTCTTTCTTTCTCCGTGCATGTGAATCCTTTGAGTTTTTCAGCATCGACCTGTTTGCTGTATCATTGGTAGGAAGCATTAGCAATATATCATTCTGTTCTTTCTGGTTCCAATGATTCCCCTTGTAAAGGTCGAAAACTTTCAAAAGACTCAGAACAGAACCTCCACAGATATAAGCAACAGTGCATTTAGATAAATCAGTTACACAAGACGCATGAAACACTGTTTTACAGTTGAGATCCATGGAGTGGAATGGTCAGTTATGTCAGCAGCAGAAGAAACAAAGGTTTCTGCTTTCACTAGAAAGAGGTGGGGTTGAATGATCAGAAGTGGTGGAGCCGATGTAACTGACCATTCAACCCTACCTTTCTAGTGCAAGCAGAAACCCCACTAGAAAGGTGGTGTTGAACAAAGGCCTTGTGGGATGCTGAGTAATCGTTGTCGAGTGGTGGAGTCGGTGCAGCTGACGTGATCAATCACCAGTAGCGCTACACTCTCAATTCACTAGCAACATGTAATGGTGCAATCAATCCGGTAGGCAAAGGAGGTCCCCTTCATACGAAAGGATGGCCAGGTTCAAGAGGCAAGCAAACCTATCAGCCGACGTTCTTTCGAAAAGGGCCCAGGCTGAAGATGTAGGCCTATCATTGCCTGCCGTGGAGGAGAGCTCCTTTTGCCTTAGGGAGCTCGCTCTGCAACATGTAACAGGCAATCAAGATGTGCGAGATTTTTGTCTCAATCCTCAACACATATCCTATCTCTATTCGCAAGTGGATGCCCGAAACATTGAGAAGTGTTCACTTCAAGTCTTTCAGATGATTGGGCATTTTGTCCCTTTGGGACATCCATTAAGATTGGAATGATACAGAGAAGATTAGCAAGGACCCTGTGCAAGGATGACACACATCAATGATTGGGCATATATTATGCAGCTTGGACAGCTGGGTTATGCAGAGAGATCGAAAATGCGCTGCAGTGCTTCGTTCTGCAGTATGGACAGGTCTCTGTTGCTCCATGTCGATGTGGTGGTGGTGGTGGTGGTGGTGGTGGTGGGGGTGAAGGGGGGCCGCGTATTTTGGCACTCTGTGCTATCCATGAGACCGTGGTGGAAGCAAAAAAATAGAATAAAACTTGTAAAAGGCTTTTGGGCAGTTGCTGTCGTTCAGAAATGATGATGGAGCTCAACTTGGCAAAGCATATAAGTTGAGCTGTTAGTTGATCCTGAATCAGCAATTGCATCCGCTGTGGTATTGCCGTCGTGATTGTGTTGTATGACGGAGTGATTGGTTGGTGCACTCTGTGGCATGCACAGGTAGCAGAGTACGTAAAAACCGTCCTGCGACCGGGACAAGCGTATGTGGCAGTCAAGCTGGATATGAAACGGATCGAGGCACTCCAACTGGACATCGACGCGTGCTCTGTGGCGCAATCCATTATCGTTGCTCCGAAGCTGAAGCTGAAAGCGCAGGTATGGTATCGCATTTCCGTTTGCAAGAGCCCTTAGCAGGAATTTGAAATCTTTGGATCTTGAGAAGGTTATTCGTCACATCTCCTCCGCTCCGAGGTTTTAAAGTTTCTGGATTCTCTGCATGTATGTTCTTCATCTTGAGCTGCGTCAGTACCAGAATTGAAGCCTTTCGTGATTGATACGAATTAGCCCGTCATGTGCATGAGTTGTGAGTTTTATTTCAACTTATTGGCCCACGCCTTCTGTTCTTCGGTTTCATTTTTCTTTCTTTTCAAGAAGACGGCCCTTGGCATGTTTATTGTTATCAAGAGGGTTTGAAATTTGAAGTCACGTCTTACCATGGTAACCCCGGACCCGGACACCGGACACTTCCGGACTGTCTTCCGGACCAGTGTCTGGACCGGTCCGGACTGTCCGGTGA